AAAATATGATTTTTATATATTAGAAATTAGAAGAAATAGAGATGGCACTTCAACAATTATTGCACGATGATTCCTTAGCAGAAGAAGTAAAACTTGGTAAATTTTAATAAATTATGATAACAAAAAATCAAAATGATTTATAATTGTTATTATTATTATTATTATTATTATCAAATTATGCGAAAAAATAATAATCATTTAATGTAATGGAGATTGTAATTATTACATTAAATAAAAGAATGGGTAGATTTAGACGCTGTTAATTCCGAATCAACAACACCAGTTGATGTTGATGGATCAAAGCAGCCAGAAGGAGAGGATACAGGGCAGCAGGAAGATATTGATTCAATTGACGAATTTCTGTTGAAAGAATTCGAACGTCAAATTGATATGATGGAAAATTTATCATCAGATAATGATGAAAGTAATGATGAATCTGATGATGAATCTGATGATGAAAGTAATGAAGAATTTGATGAAGAAGGAATATTAGGAAAAGAAGAAGAAGAAGAGGGGGAGGAGGGCGAAGATGAAGAGGAAGAAGATGATGAAGACGATGAAGAAGATGAAGAAGATACCGAAGAGAGTTCTAATGGTTAATGATTTTTAGAATATAATTTTTTTTGATTGGAGAAATTTTTTTCTGAAATTATTTTATACTTTTTATAGAAGAACAATTGGCTGAATTAGAATCACTATTGAAAAAAAAGGAAACAGACTTGACTAAATCAAATAACCCTGTCATGACGGTATTATTTTATTTTATCTAATAATAATTTTTATAGTAATATTCGTTTAATATGTTTTTTTAAAATAGAAAAATTATATATTTGTGTATTATATAGGAACGAATTGTAAGCCAAATTGCAGATATTAAAGAAGAAATGGAAAAAAGAAAAAAGAAATAGGAATTTAAAAGCATGTAGTATTTATTGTTTTTTTTATTTTTAGCTTTGAAATATTATTTATATTTATCTATATCAGTTATTAATAATACAATATTAATTTACAGATAATAATAAATATTTTAAAATTAGATTTTTAACTTTAGTTTGGTAATCAACAAGAAAATAATAATATGATATGGGTAAAATTTACTCTTTATTTAATTCTCATGCTTGTTAATTAATTCATTGATTGATTGAATAACTTTTTCCTGAACTATGCAGGTTTTCTAATTCATCATAGGCTTGATATCACTCATCCACAGTTAATGTCACAAGTTGAAATGTCAAGTGGAACGCAGTTTTGCATTTTCAATAATAAAATAAAATTTAAAAATGCATTTGAAATATCAACATGGGGTTGATACCTACTTTAATTAATCGAAAGTTATGACATTCCCTTTTAAAGTTGTAGACACAATAGCAAGCCCTATTAAATGCATATATTTTATCAGTTATACAAAAATATCATAAGCCCTATTGTAATGCTGCCATATCATAATAATTCCCAAATTCTTGTGAAAAATTGGTAAAGTTAATTGTAAATAACTCCTTGCACTTGAGGGGTCATAGAAAACTCACTTAGACTTTAATATCGTAAATACCATCTCTTTTACTCTTAGGAGATGCAGATCTGATGAATCAATTGAATGCATTACCAATAAAAACGCTTTTCTACCTGTTCAAGATGAACAAAAAAAACTAGTCAATCAGGTGAATAAGTACTGATATTACTAGGAATAACGTGTTCATGTTAACTCCAAATAGAAAGTGACATAGCTGTAATTCACAAATGAACGCGTGATTGATTAGTATTGTGATTAAAATATATTTTGTCAACTCATCGTTACAATTAGCCAGAACTTCATATATTTCACCACAGATTCATGAAAAAGATTTCATCTTTTTTATTATTTATTATTATTATTCATTCTTATTGTCAAGTTCTCTAATTCGTCATGATAAATCAAAATACATAAAAAATAAAAACTCATCCAACCCAAAGCGGTAATTACAATCTCGCAATAAGAGAGGGATGAGTACCAAAAAAATATTTGTAGGAGTTACACCAACGTTACATTTAAAGTGATGAGTGACAGAATAATTTTTTTCTTTGATTGAAAAATAAAAATGAGACCATTAACGGAAGATGAAACTAAAATATTTTTTGAAAAACTTGCAAAATAGTAGGTTTCATACTCTTTTATGATATACATGTTTTCAATGAATAAATAAGTAAATTCAATCTTGTTTTTCTAAAAAAATTGCTTTAAAGCATCGGAAGAAACATAATACATTTGATTGATAGATCTGATGAAACCTATGTGTTTAGATTACAAGAAAATAAAGTTTATTATACGAGGTAAGATAAGAATATCATAAAAAGAAAGATCATGCGTGTGAAAGTAGAAATTACTTTATAGTTGGAGCGTTATACATATATATATGATTTAATCATAATTGGTATCAAATATATTTATCTATATACACATTTATCAATCAATAAAAAATAATTAGTGACAAGATGATGCGCCAAGCAATGAGTGTAGGAAGAGATAATTTGAAATCAGTTGGAATATGTTTCGGTAAATTCACTAAATCTCGAAAATTTCAAATAAAAATTACCGCATTAGATTACTTGGCCCAATATGCAAAGGTGAATAATATTAACAATATATTGTATTATAACATCGTAATAACAACATACATTGATTGATTAACTAATTAATATATAGTACAAGATATGGATAAAACCAAATGGAGAAAATTCATTTTTGTATGGTAATCATGTATTAAAGGCACATCTTGGACGTGTAACAGATGATACGCCTGAACATCAAGGTGTCATTATATATTCAATGTCTGATATACCTTTGGTAAATATAAGTAATTATGAATATATGAATTGGTTGGTTCTAAATAAAAAAGAATAAACTAATTAATAAATAATATTTGACAATAATATTTAATTAATATAGGGATTTGGAGTAACTGCTAGATCAACTGTTGACATTCGTAAATTACAACCAACAGATATTATTGTATTTCATCAGTCAGATGTAGGAGAATATTTACGTGATGAAGACACATTATTTTAACGATTAATAATAATCATAACATTATACATAGATGAATAATAAATAAATAATATGTCAATTGGTATTATTTTATTGTGATAGTTAATTTGTTATATTAATTTAATTATAACATTTCAATAATAAAGAATAAATCAATTTATAAGCTTGAATATGAATCTTACTTTATTTATTGAGAAAAAAAATGTAGTAATTAATATAAAAAATATTATTATTATTATTATTAATAAAAAAATGAGAGAAAAGATATATAATAATTTTTCATCATTATACACACACATACACATATATAATATATATTAATTATTTGAATATAAAAAAAACTAATTATTGATTATTATTTATTTAGAACTTGTGTATTTTGTGACAGCCTTTGTACCTTCGGATACTGCATGTTTGGCCAATTCACCTGGTAAGATGAGTCTAACAGCTGTCTGGATTTCTCGTGAAGAAATAGTAGATCGTTTGTTGTAGGCGGCTAGTTTTGATGCCTCACCCGAGATTCTTTCGAAAATGTCATTGACGAATGAATTTAAAATAGACATTGCTTTGTTGGAAATACCAGTGTCAGGATGCACTTGTTTCAAAACTTTATAAATGTAACTCGAGTAAGTTTCCTTCCTGACTTTTCTTTTTTTAACTTTTTTTTCATCAGAGCCACCAGTAGTAACAGTTGCTTTTTTATTTTCTTTTTTTTCTGCCGATGCAGCTGGACCTTTTGAAGCTGGAGCTTTAGCAGCGGTAGCTGGTTTTTTTTCAGATTTTGGTGGCATTTTTTCTTAAATAATTTGTTTTATTTGTTGTTGAACGATTATTTATTTATTATTTTTTTTGGGATTAAGAAATTTTGAAAAATTTTCGTTATTTGTTGGAAAATTTGATCTGTTTATATAAGAAATTTTTTTTTTGATATAAACGCGCGAAAACTTTTGAATAAAAACAATAACAATATTCTGATTAAAAAAAAATAATAACAATAACAATAACAATAACAACAGCAAAAACTAACCTTTTTAGTTGTTGATGTTTTTATATTTTATTAATTTTTTTTTTTGTTGATATTTTTGACGAAAAGTGTAAATTTTAAACGTGTCATAAATCTATTTAGGAAATTTAGGAATCTTTTCAATAACAACAACTAATTTTGGAATATGATGATGATGAAAGTGATCACGTTAATTGATCATGATTTGTTTGTCTGTTGTTATTATAGAAAAAATGTAACATGAAACTCTCGTGATTTTTTCTAGTTAATTAATTAATTGATTAATTGTACTAGTTATTAAAACATTCTTATAATAACAATAACCTATAATTAAACTTATATGATTAGCCTATTTTAGTCTTGACTGGAATTTTTTTTTAAATTTATTATTATTATTTACAAATAAAAACAATATTTATAATCATCACAGTAGTTTAAATAGATGGACTATAAAAATTAACTTTTTTATCGAGGCGTTTCCTTTTAGTTATAAATACCCATCGTTTTTCTTTTTTTGTACCCTAATACTTTTTTTTTCTCAAGAAAAAATACCTACATTGACTTCCTACACAAAAAATTAATAAATAAACAAATTTAAATAAAATCTACTCGCCTATTTTTAATAAAAAAAAACTTTACGCAAAATAAATAATAAAAAATGTCTTCAGGAGGTAAAAGTGGAGGTAAATCAGCTGCTGCCGTTACTTCAAAAGCTACTTCATCTAGATCTGCCAAAGCCGGTCTCCAATTTCCAGTAGGCCGTATTCACCGTCTTTTACGAAAAGGAAATTATGCTCAAAGAGTTGGTGCAGGTGCACCTGTTTATTTAGCTGCAGTCCTTGAATATTTAGCAGCTGAAATTCTTGAATTGGCTGGTAATGCTGCAAGAGACAACAAAAAGTCTAGAATTATTCCCCGTCATTTACAACTTGCTATTCGAAACGACGAAGAATTAAATAAATTACTCGGTCATGTCACAATTGCTCAAGGTGGAGTTCTACCAAACATTCATCAAAATCTTCTACCCAAAAAGTCTAAAAAGAGTGGTGCTGCTACATCTGAAGCTTAAGTAATTATAATAATTTGCTCAATAATATATATAATAATATTTATTTGTTAATTAATAATTAATTAATTTTCTTTTTTAATATATGTATATATATACGCAATCAGATATCATTTTAATTTTTATTTTTTTATCAAACAAATTTTCTGTGTATATATAAGTATATGTGTGTGTATAATGATGAAAAATTATTATATATCTTTTCTCTCATTTTTTTATTAATAATAAT